TTTCATAACATCTTGCTACAGTGATTACTGTACTTACATAATAGCCTCAAAAAAGTCTTCCTCACTATGTTTAATGAGTATCACTGAATAATTTTTTCTTTAATATTACATCCATGGTGGAGCTGGGGAGATGGCTCAGTAGAATAAGCGCTTCCCTGGCAAGAGCAAGGGCCTGAGTTCAATCCCTGGTTCCAGAAAAATAAAAATAAAAATAAAAAATTACACCCATGGGCCAGGAAGATAGCTCAATGGTATAAGTGCCTTCCTGACAAATACAAGGTCTTGAGTTTGATCCTTGGTACCAAGAAAAAAAAAAGAATACCTGAACTTTAATACTACACGCATGACTTTGGAGAATGAAAGCCCAATCTGTCCTATAACAACCTAAATTCAAACCTGCTCACAGCAGCATTATTTGTTAAATGTGGCAAGCAAACCAGACATTTTTCAGCAGGAGAAAGATGATCATTTGTGGGACCAGCATCACACTGGGGGACTGACACCGTTGGGACCCCTGCATTGGCAGAAGGATTATGTCAAGCTGAAGATGTCTGAGAGTCAGCAAATGCAGGGGAACAAAGCTTTCCAGGAGTCTCCTTGTTTAACTAGAAATGGCAGCCTCTGCAAAATGTGGCTACCATAAATCTCTCCCGGAGTTTCATGGCCTAATAAGATGGAAAGAGCACTCATACTTAAACAGCCAAACATGGAAAACTTTCAAATCATGTTTTCCTAAAAATCCATTTTTCTTTTTCTAAAGAAACCTATTTTTGCTTTTACTAAATGCAGATGTGTCTACTTCCTTCCTTTTCTCCTATGTTAGCAATACTTAGTAGTCTCTCCTTTATCCTTGAAAGGTTAATTTCTAGTCTCCTGAACCCAAGAATATGAATACACACATTTATTAGGAGCTAATCTGTTCTTCCATGTTTTATGTCCTAGTGGCTCCTTTGCATCACTACTCTTGTGCTTGGAGGCCATCATTAAATAGTGAAATGAAGACTAGTAGAACTTGTAGATAGTCATATCTATAAAGCAGGTACCAGACAGCATGTGAGCACAGCCTGGACAAAGGAAGGACTCATGTTATGAGCAGGAAGAATCACAAGGGCAGGAGATTTCATCACACCTCTCAGAATAATATGCAACGTAAAACTCATGGATCGTTTATTTCTACAATTCTCCATTTAGTACTTTTGGACTACAGCTGAGTCTCTGCTGGCTTTCTCCATAAACAGAGATCTGGTCTGTCTTCAGTACTTCCCAAAACTCCTATTGTACCTTCAGTTCTACAAGTCTCTGGCTCCTCCTCCTTGTAGTCTACAGGAATTTCTATCCTTGTGTTCACCTTCTAGAAGAGTAACAATGACCACTTGAAAGAGATCTAAACAAACCAAAAAGTACACAGTGCCCAGGAGTTAGCATAAAGCAAACATAAAGATGTTTGCTTTCCATATGATATTTGCCAAACCAACAAATTCTAGTTCCCAGGTTACCAGCATATAAAAATGAAACCAAATGTTCACTTTTCTCTATTTCCAAAGAAAACTTAAGATATACAATTATTACAGAATTTGATATTTTTGTGAAAATATTTTGGTCCAATACCTTATTAGCTACTGGGAATGCTTTTGATGCACCCTCCTCCTCAAGGAAGACAGGTTTTACAGCAGAAACAACATTTAAATACAAGTCAGGGGACAAGCGTTCCAGACCAGAGTTGCCCAGCCAAGGAATCGTGGGCTAGACGGAAACTGAGCCCAGTGAAAGGAGCAGCTGGAAGCCGCACAGCCTAAAAAGAGCCTGTCTCTCTGCCAATGGTCTCCTTCATGCTCTCTTCCGAACTCAGGGCTCCTTACAGACCATTCAGGATTCATCCTATCCTAAATGGTATGTGATACTTCTAAACTCTTCAAGAAAGAATAAACTCATTGAAGGTAGAGATTTTTCTTCTTATAATTTTTACCGAAGTACACAATACGTTCTGCATACCTAACATTTATTGAAAGCTGACTGACTATGTGCTGAGCGTGACTTTAAGTGCCTTACATGAACATATGCACTCCTTTTTCTTCACAACAACCCCACAGGACATACACTATTATTCTTCTCCTTTTGCAGATCAGAAAACTGAAGTGCAAAGAGATAAAACCCAAGATTATGCCACTAGGAAATAACAGCACTTGGACTCAATCCTAAACAAGTTAGCTGCAGAATTCACAATCTTTTTGTGGAGACAGAGTCTCACTGTGTAATCCAGGTGGGCCTTGAACTCTCCATGATCCCCTTGCCTCAATCTCCCAAGTGCTGGGATTACAGGCCCACAGCACCATGCCCAACCTCACAATCTTAATTACATTGCTATAGTTAACAATCAATCAATTATGTATGCTACTTTATGTAAAAGATCTATAAAGGACTAAAGATCACAATAAAACAAACAAATACAAACGACCATAGCTCTCTGGTGTCTTGAAAATAGGCACACAGTAGTTTGTGAAGGTTAGAATTGTAATCAGATTGGAATTTGAATACCAGTTCGGTGACTTTTGCCAAAGCACTTAATCTTCTTTAGCAATCTTCACATCAGCAAGATTAACTAGGAGATCTCGGAATGTTCATAAGAATTAAGAGCTATGAGAAGCCGGCAAAACACCAAGAACACAATCCACAGTGTGTTCAATAAATGTCTGGCTCTAAAATAGTGTGAAGCCCAGAAATCTTTCTTTGTTACATCATTAATCAACAATTATAAGTCTTTTTTAATTTTTAATTTTTAATTTTTTTTTTCTGGAACCAGGGATTGAACTCAGGCCCTTGCACTTGCCAGGGAAGTGCTTATTCCACTGAACCATCTCCTCAACCCACTTATAAAAGTCTTAAACAGTAACCCTGAGAACATATTTCTGTTCCTTTATGACAACATACTGGCAGGACTTAACTCCCACACTCATAAAACATATAATACTAATAATTGCCTCTAATTATTATTAACAAAGAAATAAACATCTTTGCCTCCAGGGGAGGGAAACACTAAAGCGAAGAACAACCTTTCACACATTAAAGCAACCGCAAAGGAAAGTTCACAAAGGGACAATTCCCTGTTAAGGACTACTTACATGAGGGCTGCAGGTGCACCAAATGTGTGCAGGTTCTGGAAAGCATGCAACAAAGGGAAAGTTCGGGAGATAGAGAAGCTTAATATGACAGTGATAACCCTAATGCGAGGGCTGAGGACCCAACAGTTCGGGCAAGTCCAGGGAGCAGAATTAAACACATACAACAGGAGCCCTTGAGAAAGAGGAACCAGAATGGGCTTCCCTGGACTGTAGTAGGGACCCTGCCATAGAAGATGCTGAGGCCGAGAGGTGGAATAGAAAAAACCAGACAGGTAAAAAGAAGACTAGGAAACTGTTTTTAAAAACTGATTTTAAATGGGGATTATGGTGATGTCTGTATAATTCCAGTGGCTCAGGAGAACCCTTTAGGAGCTTCCCCTTACGGCAGGATGATAGCAAATTCCAACCCAGCCTTCAGCAATTTAGCCAGACCCTGTCTCAAAAGAAAAAAAAGGGGGCGGGGCTACGGGCTAGGAATGTATAGTTTAGTACAAAAAAAGCCTAGGGGGAAAAATTAATAATCAAAACAACAACAACAACAACAAAAAATCCACTGTAGCAGTTTTGAGGAAACTGTAGCTTTAAGGAAACTGCAAACGTTACTGTGCCTTTTCTCCCTTACTACAGCTTTTCTGCCAGGTTCCTCACTCAAATTCCTAGGAGTCTGAAGACAGTGTAATCCATACATTTGGCCTGCATTTTCCTTCTGATAGTGTACGTCTATAAATTCCGAAAGTTACATCAAAGAATTCTATTCTTAAAGAAACAGCGCTATTTAGTGGTTTATATCTAAATTTCAGACACATAAAAAAATAAAAATTCAGACACATATAAACAATTTATATTTAACCCTGTTGACAATTTTGCTTTACCCCACTAAGGGGTAAACTGACCTCAAGAAAACAAACAAGAGGTAAATGATAGCTCAAAAAATAAGCATCCCAGACCATATAAATTCTCCCAAGCCCAGATCACAGAGCTACGCACCTGTGGAGAGCCAGCACTGTACGCTGTGTGATTTTGCAAAATCTGCCTGTCCCTCTCACTGACAGGTCTCGAAATTTCTCCTTTCTAAAAAGGAGGATTTTTCTTTTTCGAAAAATCTCCTTTCTACCAAGATACATCAAGAACCGACAGAGCTGTGGGGAAAGTTGAGATCTCTATCTCCTCTTCATGGGTCCCTCAACACGGTCCAGTGGGCTGGGGAGATAGTTCAGTGGAATAAGTGCTTCCCTGGCAATCGCAAGGGTCTGAGTTCAATCCTCGGTTCCACCAGAACAGAACAAAACAAAACACGGTCCAGAGACAGCTCCAGCCTTGAGACGGCCGGAGGGATTCTCTGGCAAATCGGACCAACTCCCTAGGTCCCTTCCTTCAGCCAGGGTGAGAAGGGAAAACCGGAACCATTGCTCACCAGGAGGCAGGGCTTATATTTTAAGAATCTTCTGGATTTTTAAATTTTATTTTATTTTATTTTTTGGGTGGGAGGAGCGACCGTGTAATCATTGGGGAAAGGTGAGTTGAAGCACCGGAGAGGGGGCTTCTCTGCAGAACGCTGCAGGGACCCGAGACTCAAGGGCTCTCAGGACCCAACAACATGCAAAGGACATCTGGCTGACACAGCTCAGTGGGTGCTTGTTACCCTAAACAAAAGTCTAGATCAGCCCCCTATTCCATTCCCACGAGCAGTAGTTCCCCAAGCCTTCCCTAAACAAAGGTGGAGGCCAGCTCGGTTGCAGCCTGAAGGAAAGTGGGGTCGCCCAGGGCGTGCAGCTGGGCTCAGAGGGGGCGCCGGGCCCTTTAGGAAAAGGCTTCCCTAGCGACTACATTGGGGGTCTAGGTCGTTCCGGGCCCCAGTGTACTCGCCCACAACGCACTCACCAGCCCGCTGCGCAGCAGCGAACGAACCGCTAGTCCTTCCATCCCGACCGCGAGCAAGCGATCTGTCTCTGCGCGCTCGCAGCCGCCCCACTTCGCCGCAGGTTCAGCCGGCTCCGCCCACTCGGACCCGCCCCTCACACTCCCCTCGAGACTCCGCCCCCTCGTGCCTACGGAGCCGCAGGAGAGACAAGGAACCTCCAGCACCGCTAGCGCCCTCTGTCTGGCTCACGCGAGACTTGAGCAAGGCGGGGGGTGGGGCGGGAAGAGAGCCGGAGACACAACAAACATGGCGGTGGCGGCTGCAACGGTGACGAAGACGGCGGCAGCTGGGGCGACGGCAGCGGCGTTGAACAAGGCAGTGGGGGTTACTCGGTGCGGCTGTCAGGAGGTAAATAACTGGCTGCCGGCTCGGACGGCGGTGCTGCGATAGAACTGGGTGGAGAGAAGGAGCGGGGAAAGGTGAGAACTTGGTTTGCCCGGGCCGGCTGAGCCCGCCGGAGCCTCGGACCCAGCCGGGGGTTGTGAGCCCCGGGGGAGTGGGCAGGGTCGCGAGGTGAGACCTTCCGGACCGCGTGCGGAGGGCTTTGGTGCCCGCGGGCGCGGGAACCCGGGAGAGCGGCGCTTGTGGGTCGGCGCCGACCGGCAGGAGCTCGAAGGCTCTCGGGTGGGGACCCTGCTTGGGGCTCTGACAGGTGGCCGCGGGGTGCTCTGCGGTTTGCGGGCCCCCCAAGGGCTGGGGGTCATCCCGGGCGCGGGTCTCCTAGATGCTCCGAATCCCAGTGAGGATGTCACTCCGAATCCTAGTGAGGATGTTCTCTGATGCTGGACCTGCAGTTTGGGAGGACTTTTAAAGCCTCCTTTTTATTTCACAATCGTGCCGGGATCCGCTTTTACAGCACGTGCACTCTAATTTGGGAAGGATGTACGGTTTGGGGAGAACAGTCGGGTGAAGAACTGTTCGAGTTAATTGGAGCTTTAGGTCTCGTAGAAAGTGTAGCTAAGCACCTAGTAAAGTGCTTGTTAACTGCAGCGCTGGAGTTGATTATAGCTGCCAGTAACCACGAGGTCCATTTATTGCCCCCCCCATGTCAGATCGGAATCCGTGAGAAGGAGGCGGGGGAGATGGCTCAGTAGAATAAGTGTTTCCCTGGCAAGCGCAAGGGCCTGAGTTCAATCTCCGGATGGGGGTGGGGGGGAAGATCTGAAGGAGACATGAAAGCCTGTTCACTTGTGAGCGCTCAGAAAATTTAAGTTTAGAAGACATAAAAATAAAACAACCTTGTTAGCATCCAGACTAATGATTCTTAGATTGTTTTCAAAACAGAGATACAGTATATTCTTGGAAGAGTCTTATGTGAATTGAGGTGTTTGGTGTTCTTTTCCCTAACAGTCCAGAGTGTCTTCAGAAAACTTAACTGTTCTGTACTGCGATAGAGAAAAATGGAGATGGGGCTCGACTGTGCCTGTTGGGTGTGTGATTTAAAAAACAACAAACAACCCTTTCCTTACAATCCTTTTGGTGAATGCAGGGCTGATTTCGTTGATGTAGGCCACCTGTCCAGCAGTTCCAAGCCTGGCCCTTTTAGGAAAATGTACTGTGTCAAATAAAAGCAGTCTTTTAAATCTAGAAAGACCCTTAAGGGGCGGGAGAGATAGCTCAGCAGCTTTAAGCACTTGCCTAGCAAGAAAGGGGAAAGCGCAAGGTCCTGAGTTGTATCCTAGGTACCAAAAAAGAAAAGACACCTACAACTGCCTAAAGTAAAATCTTGAGAAATCGCCAATTGTCTCTCGGTGAATGTTATTCTTTGGTGGTCCTGTCGTTTTCTGCTGAAATGAGGCTGTTGCTTTGTTCCTTTTAAGCTTGGTTTCTTTGCTAGTGCAAATGGTAGGATTAGAACAAGTTAGCTTTATTAGTTTATTACACCTATAGATTCTAATAAGGTTTTGATTTGTGTTGTACTTTTCTTTGCAGACTTCTGTATGGCTTTTGAATTTTAGTTGAAATTCCCTCCATGGCCTTTTGGAGTCCCTTGCTGTGTCTCCAGAGTAAATTTCTCTTACTCTACATTTCATCAATGTTGGAGTGGCAAGAAAAAGGTGGAACTGATTTGAGGTGAAAAGGTCAGATTGTATAACTTTGGGTTTTCTTCCAATGTGGCCTTATGTTTCACTTTTACACTATGCTTTTGTAATGTGTCAGCCTCTTGCGGTGTCCCTTTTGCCTTCAAAAAGTTTTACAGTTATGAAATCAGTAAATATGTTCCAATTGTTTTTTAAAGGTCTATGTTACTATAAATACACTGAATCTCATTTGTCAGTATTGGTGTGTTCTCTCACAGAGTAAATCTTTCCGTGAGCATAATTATTAGACTGTCCAAGTAAGAAAATGTTTTGAATTGTAATCACTTTATATAGGCCTGTCTAACCTCCTTATTAAATTATTATATAAGTACGTTGGTAGTTAAGTATTCTCCCTTGTGGTTAGTAACCCTTATTATACATCTCAAAAATTACTGGATGAAAGAAATGTGCCCTACCATTCCTTAATAATGTGGTTCTCAAAATTCTTCCATAGTTTTGGGGAAGTGTAGATTAAAGAGCTCTTCTCTGGTTTTCTGATGTTTCATATTAGTAGTTGTGATTGCCTTCATTTTGATATCTCTGCTTTAAATGATTAGCTCCAGGTAAGAGGCTGTGTGTATATGTGTGTGTGCATGTGTGCACATGTAGACATATATATATATATATATATATATATATGCTCTATAAATAGGCACGTATTTTATTTATGAGACCTAAAAAAAATGATCAGAAGACTTCATGTAACTAAGAAAAGTTGGAGAATAGCTTTAATTACCTACTTGAACGTAAAAAGGTTTCCATGTTCTTTGAGAATATCAAAACTTAATTTTTAAGTATCTCTTCTCAGTTAGCTTGACCAAAATGTTTTATAAAAGTGTTTATTATACGTCCCAAAGTTGTAAAAGCAGCCAAATATGGTGGTGCACACCTGTAACCTAGCACTTAGGAGCCTGAGCCAGGAGGATCGAAGTGTGTTTGAGGCTAGCCTGTGCTACATAGTGAGAATTGAAAAAAAAAAAAGTTTTATTCTCATAGAGTATTTATTTTGAGCCTGAATATGTCAGCATAAAAATAAATTAGTTATACTATAGACAGTTTCTATGTAGAGGGAATGGATGGATTGATTGATTTGAGGACATTCTATACTAGACTCAGTAGGGTCTCACTACTAGATCAGACTCTTAATGATCTACCTGTTTACAGCCTCCCAAGAGCTGGGATTACAGTGTGCGCCACCAAGCCCAGTCTCAATCTCTGTCTCAGTGCACCCCTGGGGCAGGGCCTGCATGCCTGGGGATTGAACCCCTGGCCCCTGCACCTGCACCTGCTTGCAGGTGCTTTCATCCACTGAGCTATTTGGCCAGCCCTTAGACTAGAGGGTTTAAGCATACATTTATGTTTTATGGTTTGGGGGGGTAGGAAATTTAACTTCACCAGGCAGATCCCATGTTTAATGAGGGCCAGTTTCCTGGTTACATCTGTGTGGTAGATAGCCTAGACAAGCTGTTTTCTTCTTCCTTCTTTGGAAGGATTCTAATCCCATTCAGAGGGCACTTCTCTTACAACCCTCTCAGTAGCCCCACCACCAAATGCTGTTAGGGTTTAAGGGTTGCTTTTTTTGTTTTTGAGACTGGTCTCAGCCCATATTCAGACTAACCTTGAACTTGTGATGTAGCCCAGGGTGGCCTCAAACTTACTATAATCCTCCTGCCTCAGCCTCCTAAATACTAGGATTCCAGGGATGTGCCAACATGTCTGGCAAGGGTTAGGATTTCAACCCATGAATTTTAGGATATACAAATGGTCTGTAGCAATATCAGGTAGAGTAGATCTGGTTTGGAACATACTACCACCTAACTTTGTAATTATTGAGAATACTTATGTTTCTTTTTCTGATGAAATTTTACATTGAAATTGTGTGTGTGTGTGTGTGTGTGTGACTGTTTTTAATGTATTTAGGGCAGGACCTACTGGGTCTCACTACGTAGAGCGGACTTGTAGTGATCCTCCTGTTTTCAGCCTCCCAAGTGCTGGGATTACAAGCACAAACCACCACATCCAGTCTCAATCACCCTCTCGGCTGGCCCTGGGGGCATGGCCAGCATGGCAGTCTGGGGATCAAACCCTGGCTGATGCCCTCTGCCTGAGCAGGCACTTTAGTTTGCTGAGCTGTCTGGCTGGCCCAGCTCCTAAGGTTTTGAGTTAGACACTACTGAAAAAAATTATAGCTTGCTGACTTCATGAAGTATATACAGTTGTCTCTCTGTCTGTGAGAAATTGGTTATAGAATCCTTTGTGTATATCAGAATCTAAGGGTGCGCAAGTCCCTTCTATAAAATGGAGTAATATTTGCATATAACCTACACATAGCTTCCTATGTAGTCTGGGTTTTTGGTATTTTGTTTGTCTGTTTTTTGAAACAGGATCTTGCTATATTGCCCAGAATGGTCTAAATTCCTCAGCTCAAGCACTCCTCCTGCCTCAGCCTCTCTAGTCCCTGAGATGAGAGTACAAGCAAGTGCCATCACATCTTACTATGAAAGGGCTCTGAGCAAGATTTATATTAACTGGCTTTTCATGTTTCTGTGTGAGTTTGCCCAAAAAGGCTGAGGCCCTTGTCTGGAGATGGGCAGCAGACTCATAGTAAGTGGTCCTCCCTGAGTTACTGGTCCCCATTGAGGCTTGTATTGGTCTGTAAAGTTGGAATGCCTCAAAGGACAAGGTAAGGCACAGCTGAGTTTGGCTGTAACCCCAGTTGACTAAAAAAGGCTAGTAGCTGTGGGGCACTCATTCCTGTGGGCAAAGGCCTTCCTGCAGACTTTGTAGTTCTCTTAAATTAACATATGTATTACTTGGAGAAGTCCTTGCAGGAATTTGGGAGATTGTGGGCCTCATCAGTCCTGAGGGATTTTATTAAGCAGATACTTTCCTATACCCTTTAAATCATCTCTACATTTGTACTTAATACAATGTAAATAGTTGTTATACTGTATTGTTAAGGGAATAGTGACCAGAAAAGTCTATACATATTCAGTTC